AGAAATGGAAAAGTAGTTAAATTTTCACAGGATGAAAAGTTGACCTTTAGAGGGTTTTTTTTTTCTTTGAGAAAAATAGGATCCTGGAAACTTTCTAAGGCAGAAAATGTGACATTACAGAAAAGTCCATTCCAGGGGAATTCAGGGATCATGTTTTTGGAAAGGCCACCTGATAAAATAGTTCAGAAGTTAACAGAGATCCCTTAAATAGGAGGTCTGCACACTTCCGTATTTCCTAAGAATTTTTGTCCTTGAAAGAGAGTGAGTTCTCTTAGGACTGCCAACTTTCCTATTTTTTTTTTTTTTTTTAAGAAATGACACTGAAATACAGGAGTTCCCAAAGACCACCACCATCATTTGTTACAGGAACATCCTCTTGACACGCCAGCAAGGAATTCGATCCTAATCTCGGAGCAGTTGACAGCCCTCTGAATGGAATAAATCTTGGCTTCATGAAATATTCAGCGTCCTCTTTTACATTTTGCTTTGTCCTCCCGTTCCTGATGGTGGAAATGTTATCATAAAGCAACAGTGAGCCTCCGGCTGATGTGGGGAGCAGGAAGACAGTAAAGCCTTTGGCTGGACTTCCCTTGTTGCCAGTCCCCATCAGCTCAACACCCTTGCCCGTCTTTGCTCTTTGTGGGAGAACTGGTCTACCTGGACCCTGTGGCTTGCGGTGGGCTCAGCCCTGGGGGAAAAACAGACAGGACAGCAGAGGGTGAGGAGAGAGAAGGTGAGGCTTCTTACTCCACTGATCCGCTGTGCCCACCGCCCCAGGGAGGGCCTGGCAGTGTGTGCATGTCTGTACTCCACTTTCTTCCTAGATGTATCCTCACATACTCTCCTAACCCGTCCCCATACCTCTTCCATGAAGACAAGGCAAAGAGCTCTGCCACCTGTTCAGAGCTGATGCCCTTGAACTTGAGCTCCCCCTTGGTCCTCAGTCATGGCACTGATATGTCCACATGTGTCCAGCTAGGGCCTAGTCAACACTTGATTCGGTTACACATGGAAGTGCTGAGGCCCATCCCAGCGAAGCAGCTGGCCCAAAGTAGCCTTGCCTCGAAGAATCCCGTCCAATACAAAGCATGGGGTCCCGGTCACAAGCAGAGTGCCCGTTAATCAGTGCTTGCCTGGCACCCTCCATAGCCAGCTCCTGCCCAGGCCTGACGATGGGCTCCTTCTGCAACCTGGTGTTGTATTCTATTTGCATTTTACCTTCAGCTTTCTTACTGGGTGATGACTGAGGCATCCCTGAACACAGAGGAATGCTGTTTTCACTGGAAAGGATGGGAACTGGGGGAATGGAATTGTTAGACTTCATCTAAAGCAGAAATAGCCTAAGAAACTATTGGCAAAAGCCAAGCACAGAAGAACGTGAGAGTGATGAGGTTTCTGCTGTGCAATGAAATTCTGGCCAGGAATGAGGAGGAAGAGGGATGATAAGGCTGGGGTGCGAGGTGGAGGTGGAGGTGGTGCGGGTGGTGGACAGGGAAGAAGATGGCTCACTGGGGAGGGCAGGTTTGGGGGATGAGGATGCACGGGGCCGTGGTGGGTGCCTGGCGAGCAGCAGGAGAACGCGGCAGTAGCGGAGGGAAGAGATACCAAGCAGGAAGCTCCCCGTGAGAAAATGTGTCCGAGGTGCGTTTCTTCTGGTGGGAAGTTGCTGCCCCACCTAGCAGGGTCCCAGTTGTCCCAGACGTTTCAGTCTCTGCCTCGGAGCTGTGTGCAAATGCACGTCTGCGAAGCCGGAATTTGTGATGACCATACAGCGATTTAGCAGGTTTGGCTTTTGACTAAATGCACGTGCATACATTGAGTACATGGACTTTTTTAAAAAGTGCGTACTTGATGATTTTCTCACTGCTCTTGATCTCTTGTTTAAATAGTGACCCTGCGGTTAAGTTCTTCCACTAGGATTTTAAAGGAAGCTACCCAGTTTGAATAACAGGTTTTTCTCCTGAGAGGCTTTGGGATAATGGAATTCTGAACCTATGTCAAGTACTTCATCTGTAGGAGTCACTGGTTCAACCCCGTACGTCTTGACAGCAGCCCCACATCATTCAGCCTCCTTGCCCTTGGCTGCACAAGCTGTCCCTGATCTTAGCGAGCAGAGCTGTGCTGGGGCTCTGATCGCTGTTGGCGTCCCAGGCCTGTTGAGGGGGAAGCATCACTCAAAGGAGTCACTGTTGCAGCCTCTGAGCGAGAATGACGACTCCTGCTGGTGCCACCACCCCCAGGACTGCTGAGCCTTCCGTCAGTCAACAGTCAGTCAATGGGCACCTCCTTAATTCTGAGTAAAGTCTTGACGGGCCTCTGTACACAGGGGCCAGAGCTGGAGGAGGGGGTCAGAGACAGAAGACAGAACCGGTCCTTAGGCTGGAGGGACTTCAAATGGCTGAGAAGGACGTGCCAAGCTCATTTGTGGACAGAGAAAGAAAGGTTTAAAAGCAAGGACAGATTCTCAAATGAGAAACTTGTGTAATCGAAATGCAGTCTACTCTTGGACTTGCGAATCTCTGTAAGATCTGTTCAGTTAGTAAATGATCAACCTCAATACATAGAACAGTCAAGTGCCTTGAACTGTAATCAAAGAGCTTGCTGAATTGTTAATATTCACTATTATTTTAGTTGAATCATCTTGGCTGTCTTAGCTGTACATACTGAGATTATTGGCTTGACATTTAGGAAGAAAATTTTAAGATGGAGTACAAATTCAACATGTTCTTTAGACCACACAGCTCAATCCTCCATGTTAATCTGTGGTATTTGTAGCATTTTGATGTCATGTAACAGACTGATTAATAATATAATTCACCTGTCCTTTAGCTTAATCAGTGAGTATTTGTTTTCATTATTAACACAAATTGCACGTGTCCACGTATGCCTGGAAGTAGAATGAGATGAACGGAGAAGATGCTGTCTTTGGGCTGTCTGCCGTGACACCTGGCATACCTGGGACAGTCGCTGGCTACACCTGTTTAAGACTCTTTGGAAGCACCCCCCCCCTTCGGAACCTCTAACCTCATGTAGTTACCTGTTTCTGAACTTGTTCCTGCCTTCTGATTCCTCTGCTCAGTTAGTGGAATTGTTCCCAGTGACACGTGCTTGCCTATGTATAAGCTATTTCCTGCCAAGGGGCTGGGGAGGCAGAGAAGGCCAGGTCACAGGCTGGGGACCTGTGGCTTGCAGCTGGGCTACGGAAGACACACTTTGCTTTTTCTACAGGTTACTCCGGTCACCCACTGTTCTACAACTCATGGATTTACGGGTACTGAACGTCCTGCGTTATTTAAAACAGTCTTCTGTCAGGCCTGTTTCGTTTGGCTTTGACTTAATGCTTCTGTCTTCCTGGAAGTGATTGTCCTTGGCCAGGGATGATTTGGGCGTTTGCAGAAATTGGCCTGGAGAAATGGGTCGGCTGATCTACTGGGTTTGCTCATGAAAATTGTTTTTTAAAAATTTGATTTAAGTTACACAGGTTTCATGTATCTTCTATACACAGATTTAGGAACACAGTAATACTCCCACCCTACCTTTCCTCCTGCCCATGCTCCAACCTTCTTGAGGTTACCTATGAGATGGGAAGATTGTCTCAAGAAATAGCAATGTAGACCAAATTTACCAATCTTTTTGGGAAATATTTCAGGCTTTTGATAATTGCGCCTTTCTGCCTAAACTGTTTTAAAGTATGTATCTACATCCAAGTGTAAATACTCAAGAATTTTGTTTTGAGGCTTGCTGCTGGAAGATATTTGGACCCACTCCTGACATTCTGGAGTCACCCTGCGATGTTTAGGGTCCTTGGTTCATGTCCTTCTTCATAGCAGTTTAGCACTGGAACAGGTTCATCCCTTAAAGGAAAACTTTTGAGGGGGATTAGGCAGCCACGAGTGGCCAAGCTTGACTTCGGAGCCAGGCTGGTTGTGTGCTGTAGCGACATATCTTAGCTCTTCATCCCATGCAGTTCCATGTATATCAGGGGCCAGTGGCAGGGGCTCTGTTTGCAGCACTGTATATAAAAGTATAAATGATCATGGAACCAAATGAAGGCTTTTTAAAAAAATGTCGGGTTCCGTTTGCCACCAGATGGCTCTATTGTATCATCAGGAAATGCGTGCTTGTGTAAAAGTGGTGGTCTCAGAAACCAAAGGGAAAAAGCAAAGTGGCAGGCATTTTAGATCCATAGGAATGCAGGGGTTAATTAGAAGCAGCCAAGGCAGCAGGTGCACTCCCAGGAAAACAGGACACACCCAGGGAGACTATAGAAAGTTCAGGATCCTGGCAACTGGGCAGTTTTCCTCTTGCAGTTCTCACATTGCTCTGTGATTATAAACCATCCCAGTGGCCAAAGAGTGAGTAGTTAGGATGTGCTCCAGTCTCAGTAGGGCCTGTAACTGATATTTCCACACGACTTTTGCAAACTCTTCAGCTTTAGCTGAGCAAGAGGAACTGTAGGATAGTTTTTGAGAGGCAAAGTCTACATGAGTCTTGGTAGAAGTCATGGTAGCCAGACTCTGCGGGAAGAAGGATCTGGTTCTGAAACACCCGGTGTCTTTGCTCTGATGACCTTTGTGTTAAGAGTGTGAAGATAAGAGGAAAAATGGACGTCTCTTGAGTGCCGGTGACCCTGTTGCTCTTGATAGGCAAAGGTTACAAATGCAGAGATTTAGGTGACAGCCTCATTAGGAATGTGACGTTTCGATTCTACCCTCTTGAATTGAGTAGAAAAGATGCACATTAATCAAATTCCACTGACAACAATTTTAATCTGAATTTCTAAAGCTATTTCGCTGTCATGTAATTTTCATTCTTCTCCCAGACGCTAACCTGTTAAGTAAAACTCTTCAGTGATGGCATTTTGTTTTATTGCTGTTTTTAAAAAGGGGAGGGCAGATTTGTGTGAGTTTATTAAGCCTATCCTGAGTCCATAAAATTGTTTTAGATGCTCTCAGGAAACTCTGCATGTCAAAAAGTAATAGTTGATTATTGTTTTAAAGCAAGAGTCCCTGGACCCTGGACAGACGGCATTTGCTTTGGCCCAACTTGAGTCCTTGGAGATTTGCCTAAAGGAAGCAGAAGAAAAGGCTAAAGTTTTATCCAAACAGGTAATACCTGTCATGGGAACTGGAAATAGATATTCCTCCATGTGCAGCGTTGGCAAGGGTAAATCTAAACGTGTGTTCTAACCTATGTCACTGTTGATGTGTGTGTGTGTGCGCGCACACACACACACACACAACACATTTCATTCATTTTACATGCAGCAGTACTTTAATCTGCATGGAACTTTTCAGTCTTCCAACCTTTTTTTATGTTTACATTTGATTTGAGTTTCATTGGATGCAGGTCCTGAGTTAGGCGAGGCCTCTTTCAGCGGTTTTCCCGAATAAGTGAAGTCTATTTATATTGTCAGTGGAGGAGCCAAAAGATAAAATTAAGCCTTTTAATGTCCCACAGCACTGAATGTTTTGATTTATCTGAGGAAAGTTTACTTTGAAGAGAGTTCGTCAAATATTGACTTCACTATGGGGCTTTGGAAGCTCGCGGAGGCAGAGTAGACCATCGGTGGAGCCCAGGCTGTACCAAGGTCTGCACACCTTCCAGCTCTGTGTATGGCAGGTCCCTCATTTCAGACAGTGGCTTGGCTGTTAGCAAAGCTCAAACCATAAGACTGCTCTTTGCTGCCAATGCACAGTGCAGCTATTTGTTGGGGTTACCTTACCCCCTGTAAACAGGGTCCTGATGCAGAGAGCTGGGACCCCCATGGCAAGGGGGTGCCAGTGCTTACTCTTAGTGACAGTCAGTGGAGAAAAAAATGACAGAAGGGACCCTAAGAAAATGAAAACATACTTTTAAAGTATTTAGAAGCAATTTTGAGTTTTAAAAATACTGCAGGTAGTATTGTTTTACAGTATCATTATACCAGAATTTTATTAGAATATTTGAAGAAACAAAGGGAAAGAGGTATTTGTGCTATTGATAAGGACTCCAAGGGCCCATGGAAAAGATTGGAAGCGGGATACACAGTGTAACCCACCAGGAGCCCTCAGGCACTGCCTCTGCCGAACATATTGACTATGTTGCACAGTGGCTGAGCACTCTGCAAACTCTCTATGCACAATAACCTATATGGATGTCCATTCCCTGATTAGCCTTACATACAGGCCAATTAAACTTCTTCCTTTAGCAACACATAAAAACCCCTTTTGGGTTCTCTCCCGGTTACCAGGAACTCTCTCTTTCTCTTGATAAAGTTCACTGGGCTCTTTCTTCCTTGTCTGCATACCTCATTCTTTGTGGTCATGAGACAACCCAGCAGAAATAAAAAAGACCTGTAACACTAAGAACTGCAACACAGAAATCTGTGACATTTCAGAAATTGTGGTGGGAAGAAACATCTCCAGCATTTCTTGGAAATGAGACATAAATCCAAGTGATGAGAGCTGCAGACACCGGCTACATTATGAGAAAAGGAAGTATAGTTAACATGCAGTGCACTGATACACACACACGAAAGGCCTCTATTTTTTTTAATGTATTTTTCGGCTTAACAAAAATGTACGCCTCTTACATTGGGATGTGTTCACTGTTGACTGACAAGATGCGATTAACACAAGGGTTCACTAAGGAACCTTCGTCAATTAAGGGTGATATGTTGTCATTTGGGAAATTCGCCATCTCAGATTCATCCCATAGCCCTGGCTTGTCAACTGTTTTTGTCCTCCAAATAAAACTAAGGCTCACCTTGTGACAAGATTATGAATAATAGAAATCTCTTTGGTGAACACGAGTTGTCATTCAAAGCAAAAGGCTAACCATTTCAGATCCTCTAACCCAGGGAGAGAGCACCTCTGATGGCCTTTGGTTGCACTGAGATCAATGTTTATTTTGTTATTGAGTGAGTTTAATTGATTGTTCATTTAAACCAGGGAGATTCAGGTCATTCCTGAAAGTACCCATGCTTCTGTTCCTTATGAGATATTTTTATCCCATACAAATTAGCCACTCCCATTTAAGAGCCTTAGCTGCATGATCCCTTTATGTAACACGAAACAATTCAATGCATTTATTTTTTCAGAGTTGAGCTGATTAAATATAGAAAACGGAAACTTGCTCCTGCTCAGCTTCTCTGTAACTGGCATAAGTGAGATGCTGGTTTGGTGATTAGGGGCACAAATACTTACAGAGGACTTCAGAAAGTCGGTGAAAAATTGGAATTGAAAAATGATGGGACTTTGCCGTGAACTTTGGAAGCCCCTAAGTGTAAGACAGAGTTCTGGTTTTCTGGTTCACAGAAAATAGACTGGATGCCAGAGGTGGGTGGTGACAATGGGTGTTCTTATGGCTCACAGATGAACTAAATTGCTTGACAACGTTACATTGCAGGGTCGAGGGTGTGTTTGGTCTTCTAGTTCCTGACGTTGCCAAATTTACCTGTTGGTCATGGTTTGGGGAAAAAGAGGTTGTTAGTTAAGTTGAAGATTTTGTTAGGGTTGGCTGTCTCTACTGTTACATCTTAAACAGATAAAACACTGAGACTGTTTTCAAAGGACTTAATCTTGGGGTCTTTTATTTGTCCACTTAGTTTTAGTGTAGTCTTATCCTTGAAAAGATAAAACTATAAGAACAGCGTTCGTGTCCTTTGTTGCACAATGTCAATCGATGTTTTAAAAAAATGGGAGGAGAGAAGGCTAGGGAAGGGGAGCAAGTGACCTTTCCAAAGAAAGTTCTTGAGAGTATTTCAACACGAAACACCTGTCTCCAACAATCAGCCATTCGTCCACTGGGTGCCACTGTCTCCCTTATCAGGCTGTGCCAACGAGCAGCTGCAGACAGATTGTTCCATGAGTGCTCTGTGTGTTTGAGTATTTTTGCCACTGTCCACATTAAGACTTCTTTTAAATGTCATCCATTTAGGATTTGGCACAGAGATGTTGAGAATATTAGTTGGCTTTCCTGGTAACCCAAGTTCTGTATGAGGGCACCTCAAAATGTTGTGAAAATGGAATTAAAAATGTTTATTTTGCAATCCATGCAAAGCTTTTTCAGCATATGCATTTTTCATGAACTTCTGGAAAACTATTGCTATTTTAAAATTTTTGAGCCCAAATTGAAGTCCCTTGCTATGTTAGTCCTACTGTTGAGCCCTGGGCTGGCCTAGTGAGCTAGAGAGGGGTGGACAGAAGAAACGTCAAGGACAAAAGCTTGTGCTGGACAAAGGAGTGAAAATGAGAGTTTCGTCCATCAGAGGATTCTGCCTTTGAGAAAAGGATAAATCTCACTGCTAACTGAATTCGTACCTCCTGGCTTTGCCTCTTGGAGAAGAACACAGAATTAACTCAGAATGGAAATGTCAGTGCTTGGGACTGTGGTCTCCACCAAGCATCTGTTGGCTCTGGGCCTCAGTTTATTCATATCGGATATTTTTAGTGTCTCCTCCAGCAAGGCCTCCCTTGGTGCACTATGAAAAACTTAAAACCACCTAGAAACAGAGAGGAAATAAGTAGCTGATTATTGTGGTTCCTCCCACTGGTGAGGTCACACCATAAACAGAACTTTGCTGGGCTCCACTCTAGCTGACAATTATTCCTTATTTCTCTGCAGTCATGTCACTGTTGTCAAAATAAAAGAAATAGGAGATCAGGATAATTTAGGAGTAAGAGTTATCATCTGTGCTAGTCAGGGCTGTGAGAAGTAACTGCTGCAAGGCAGCTAGCAAGAGTGGGAAATAGTCATTAGACTCGAGCTTTTATCTTGGCCGTTAATGCTAACTCTGGACTTCACCCAGTTTCACCAAGAAAATACCTGGTTATATTTCCTGTACGTTAGACTATTTGGGAGGAAAGCCACATGTCTAGAAATTGTAGGGAAAGAAAAGAGGGTTTAAGAATGGGAAAGAAAAGGCTAGGAATGTGAGAGGCAAAAGAGTACATGAGTTTCTGAAGAATTCAAGAAAAGCTGTGATTGCCTGTGAACTGGCTTCTATCCCCAGTGCATTCAGGGGGACCAAGAGACAGGCTCTGATGCGCTGGTTTCTATGACCACAGATGCAAATAGATCTGACAGCTTTTGTGCTGACACTGGTTCTAACAAGAAGCCAAGAAAACCCACAGTTTGACCACAAAGCATGGATCCACACACGTCCCAAAGCAGAGTTGCTGGGGCAACACTCGCGCTGGCAGCAGTGGGCCCAGCCCTGGTCTCATCCATTTGTCAGGGGCTGCTAGGGTCCAGCTGCAGGCTGACCAGTCCAGCTTCGTGACCTTGGGCAGTTCACTTCATCTTCCAGCCACAGCTGTCTTTTTAGGAGGGAGTATCATGCTGATTTTGCAGGTGTTCGAAGATCAAGTCAGAGAGGTGGTCACCCTCTTAGCCCATGCTGTGGTCTGAATGTTTGAGTCATCCCTAAGCCTAACCCCCAAGGGGATGGTGGTAAGAGACGTGTCCTTGAGAGGTGATTAAGTCACCAAAGAGTGGAGCCCTTAGGTATGACATCAGAGTCCTTCTAAGTGGTAACTTCAAAAAATTAGCAGAAAATAGAATTAACAGATGTTTATTGTGCAAAAAAATATTTCACATCTATGTATATGAGGGGTTTCCAAAAGGTTCATGGAAACTATGTCATGAAAATACTACACAGGGGTTTCAAGCATTCTTTGCAGCAAAATAACATCTAATTACATTTTTCAGTGAGTGTTTTATTTAGGTGCCTAATACCAGAGGCCAAGGGACCTGGCTTACCCCTTTGGCCATGTAGGGTAAAACAGGAAGGTGCCGTATATGAACCAGGAAGTGGATCTCACCGGACACTAAGTCTGTTGATGCATCTATATTGGATTTCCTACCTCTGGAACTGTAAGAAATGTAATTCTACTTTTGTATGCTACCCAGTTTCATGGCATTTTGTTCTAACAGCTCAATTTGAATAGGAAGTACTGTAAGTTCCCTAAAAAGGTTCACTTCATCTCCACTCCTACACGGGGTCATAGCAGAACTATGTGATTCTCTTCAAGACTTGAGCCATGTAAGTTAATCACAGCCCCAACCAACAACAGAAGTCTGCCTGTCACACATATGGAGGCTTGCAACATGTTGATGGGAGATG